TAACATACTATACCTACCCTTTTCTTTAAAGATAGTATGTCTTTTTTTTAATGTTTTATTTATTTCTGAGAGAGGGAGAGAGAGAGAGACAGCGTGAGCAGGGGAGGGTCAGAGAGAGGGAGACTCAAAATCTGAAGCAGGCTCTAGGCTCTGAGCTGTCAGCACAGAGCCCGACGCGGGGCTCGAACCCACAAACCGTGAGATCATGACCTGAGCCCAAGTCAGATGCTTATCTGACTGAGCCACCCAGGCGCCCCTATACCCACCCTTTTCAAGCTGTGCTTTTTGTCACTTTGGAATGTCCGGGAGATTCTTCTTGTTTGGCACATAAACGTGTCCTTGTCCTCTTTCTTTCTTTCTGATGTACTATTTTGTTTTATTGTGCTAAAATACACCAGTATAAACTGACCGTCTTAACCATCTCTAAGGGTACAAACGCAGAGGCATTAAGTACCTTCACAATGTTGTGGAAACCATCACACCATCCATTTCTAGAACTCTTGATCATTCCAAACGCAACTCTGTGCCCACTAAAAATAATGTCCCCTTCTTTCCTCCCCAGCTCCTGGTGACCTCTATTCTACCTTCCAGCTGTATGAGTTTGCCTATCCTAGAAAGCTCCTAGAAGAGGAATCACACAATATTAGTCCTTTTGTGCCTGGCTTCGTCACTTAGCTTAATGTTTTCAAGGCCCATGACGTTGTATCAGAGCATCACTGCCTCGCACACTCTACACCACACATCGGCTTATCCATTCATTCTGCCGGTGGACATGGGAGCGGCTTCTGCCTTTTGGCTCCTGTGGTCGGCGGCGCTGTGACCACGGGGCACAAGCACATCCTGTGTCCTACCTGACTGCCTCAGTGCCCTTGCTAAATTAGTACAAAGAAGTGTCAGACACCCTTCCTCCAGACACTTCTGATATGAAGATTTTGCCCTGTTTTCTCTTTCTGCTTCTCTTTTTGTTTTCTGGAGTGTTTGAAAGTTGTAGAAATGCTGCACTTTTACCCATCAACATATCACTGTGCATTTAAGGACGTTTTCTAGCAATGACCACCACACAATGACCAGAATCTGGAAATTAACAATGTTTGCCATTGTTCTTATAATGACCTTCAGAGCAAAAGAAATTTCTGGTTCAAGGGCCAGGCCAGGATCACACATTGCCTGTGTGGTAGTGACAGGGTGTGTCATCTGTAATAGTTTCTTAGCTTTTCTTCGTCTTTCTGGATCCTGATCTTATTTTGTGGAGTGTTTATCTGATTAGATTCAGGTTACACATTTAGGGGCAGGAAAGAGTGTGAGAGTTTGTTACTGCAAGCATATAATCATTTTATGCTTCACTTAAAACAGAAGGGGCGCCTGGGTGGCTTAGTCGGTTAAGCGTCCGACTTTCGCTTAGGTCATGATCTCGCGGTTTGTGGGTTCGAGCCCCGCATCGGGCTCTGTGCTGACTGCCAGCTCGGAGCCTGGAGCCTGTTTCAGAGTCTGTGACTCCCTCTCTCTCTGACCCTCCCCTGCTCACGCTGTCTCTCTCTCTCCTAGCAAAACAAACAAACAAAACAAAACAAAACAAAAAAACCAGAAAAGCTGAGCAATGATCAAAGGGTACTGAGTCGTAGCCAGAGATGGGAGCACAACCAGGAACGTTTGGTGCTGTGGAGGGTTAGGGGGTGTCTGGAGGAGGTAAGGGGCAAGCGAGGGCCGCCAAGGCTTTTGGGAGGAAGCTGGAGATGGAAACGCGGCTGCCAGAGGCCATGAGAGGCAGTGCCCACTAGTTGTGGGCAGCTAGTGAAGGGGCTGCTATTCCTGCCTGGGAGGGGGGCCCAATCCCGTAGCCCAAAACCTTCTGGAAGCATCCTGCCCCTGAGGAATGGAGGACTCCACACCCCAGCACATAAGGGCGATTGTGTCATGCAGGCCCCCACCCGTGACTGCTCAGCGATCCTACTGGGGCTCATTCAGATGGGGTCTGCTTCCCTGGTTTCTTATCCCACCTTTTGTATCCCCGGGTGTTGCCCTGGATGCTCCTTAAATCCCAGGTGGCTGCAGCAGGAACGGCAGGTGCTGAGCAGGTGGGCTGGTTCAAGCCAGCCTTCCATCCATTCGATGGGCATTTGCTGGGCGCCTCCTAGTGCCAGGCTGTGTTCTGGGCTCTGAGGATTCAGTGGGGAATACAACAGAGGCCTCTCCCCCAACAGAACTTCCCTTCTGGGGGGGGAGACAAGAAAGGATGGCTAAGCCAGAGGGAGACAGATGTTGGAGAAACATGAAGCCAGAGAGGGAAGGGAAAGTGTGAGAGGTGAAGGAACACGTTGGGTGGAGCAGCAGGGAAAGTGTCACAGAGAAATGACTTTGGAGCCGGGATGACAGGGACCTGAGGGACCCCGAGGACAGCTGGGAGAACAGTGTTCTGGGGGCAGATGGGGGTGAAGCTTCCATCTAGGAGGGAGGAAGGGTCAGCAGGCCGGGGCCAGGGAAAGATAAGTGACTGCCGGGCAGTGCTGAGGGCCTGCTCCAGGTTTGGGATCATAAATGTAAAGCAAGAGCAGTGAGGTCACGTGACTCTGCAGGCACATTCAGGGTCAAGAGGACAGGTGCAGAGTCGGCAGAGCGCCAGGTTCTCTTCCCCAGTGAAAGCCGAGGGGGAGGCTGGTGGAGAGGCTTTGCAGGGGGCGGGTGGGGCCGGAGGGAGGAGAGGGAGAGTGGGAAGAGCTGGCACCAATGGATCAGGGGTCCTGGAGGGACCAGGGAGCACCTGCAGGCCGCAGGATCAATGAGGGAGGTGGGAAAACAACGGGAACGCGTTAGCCACCTTAGGTGGTTCCGTCAACACCAAATCCAGATGTTCAGGGAGGAGCCAAACCAGCCACCGAGCCAAGATGGAGAAAGGAGAAATGGGCCAGGTTTCCATCCGGTGTAGAAAGCAGCGTAGACACCTGCCGACCCCACGGCCTGGCTGGGGTTCTCAGATGGCACACAGAGCTGTCAGACGCTCTTGTCGACGTGTCGCATCTGTAATTTCCCATGTTCAGGGAGCTAAATCCTTCTGGGAGGGGGTGGCGTGGGACCCTGGGGCTGCTGCCGCATTGTGTCATCCCCTGTCTATTTCTCAACTTATCAGCTGATCTTGATGTCCCTCCCACTGCCTGCCAGGTGGTGACTGTTCTCCTGGTTCTCAGGAATGTGTATCTTCCCCACTCTTACAGGCTTCTGCTCAGATCCAAGGTCATATCTGGAGTGCTGATAACCACCTTGTAAAAACTATGGCTTCCTGGGGCGCCTGGGTGGCACAGTTGATTAAGCGACCAACTTCGGCTCTGGTCACTATCTCATGGTTCGTGAGTTCGAACTTCGATCTCGCCTGCTTCGGATTCTGTGACTCCCTCTCTCTCTGCCCCTCCCCTATGCATGCTCTGTCTCTGTCTCTCAAAAATAAATAAACGTTTAAAAAAATTAAAAAACAAAAACAAAACACTGTGGCTTCCTAGTGTGTCTCCCTGAAGCCACTGATCACACTAATCCCCACCCATTGACCTCCCATGCTGATCCCCCTGACCAGAGGCAGAGGCAGGGGCTGGTGGTGCCCGCAACACGGAGCTGCGAGCAAGAAGGGGGCTGCTCTGGGAGTGGGCTGGGAAATTACACACACACACACACACACAGAGTCTACCTTGCCCGGCTCCCCTGGCTCTTTGGGCATCTGTGGGACAGTCAGTGGGCTGTGGCCCGGCTGGGCAGAGGCTCAAAGCAAGATAGGTCATGGGGGTAGGAGGAGTCACAGCTTGAGCCCCAGATGCTGGGAGCCACACTGGCCTCGCTGGATGACAGTCACAGCGAGGAAATAGCAGCGTTTGCACAGCTCCTGCCATGAGAAACGAAAACTGGTATCTCCTTCTGCTACTACTGGCTCATGTTGGAGATGAGACTGCTGGTATTGACCAGGCCTCACAATATTCCAGATCAGACTGATATTCCCCACACAGATTCCTCATAAGGAAAAAGCACATTCCTGCCTCTTCAAAAGAGATTTTAGATGAAAGCACTGTGGGTGATTGTCAAGATGGATGGATAGACACGCAGATACATGGGTGGATGGGAGAATAGATGGGTGGGGAATAGGAGGGTGCATGGATAAATAGTGGATGGATGGATGGATGAATAGGTGAATGGATTCCAGATAGTTGCAGATAGGGTCAGAGAATGGAGGAGGAAATCTTGCAAAGGAAGAACAGGTTTCCCTTTCTAAGGGTTCCACTTCCTCGCGTAAGCTGGATCCCTGCAGGCTACACACAGAGAATTCTTCTGGATCCCCTTTCTTCTTTTAGCTCCAGGTTTTGCATTCTAGGGAGTCATGTGATGCAGGAGTGGCTAAAATGTACTGAGCTCTGACTATGTGTCAGATACTGGGCTAGATATTTCTGTACATGAAGTCTTGTTTAATGAAAACAGCACCTGTTTTGTGAAATAGGTCTATGGTAAAATGGGATTTTTATAGCTAAAACAAACAAACAAAAAAAGCATAAACAAAAAACAAAAACAAACAAACAAAAAAAACCCCAGAGTCAGAGAAGCTAAGTGAATTGCTCAAGGTCATACAGTTTATATCCAGTAAGGGTGGCATTTGAACTCAAAACCTGCTCAAGCAACCAGGGCTGGATGCCCTGGAAATCAAAGGGCGCTGAGGAGCCAGAGGCAGGGGTGATGGGGCCAGGCCCGGCCTTGCTCTGAACAGTGGCTCTGAGTTCCAGTTCTGGCTGAGATCTGGTCCCTCTCTGGGCCTCAGTGTGCCTATGTGGACCTGATACCCTGGGGGGTTGCTTCTGCAAATGTGCAGAAATGGAGGTGGAAGTGATCAGCTCGAGGCCCTCCCTGCAGGATGCTCCCTAACTCTCCCTGTCAGCGGGGGGCCAAAGGGCAGGGCCACCCATGGGGTAATGGTTAACCAGACCTGACACCCAGCTATAAGGAGGAACCCCAGCAGGCCAAGACTTCACAGGATGCAGTGGGTGAAGGTGTTTGGGGGGCTGGTGGGGGCCGCTGCCCTCGTGGGACTGGGGGTCATCCTGGGCCACTTTGCTGTCCCCAAAGGGGCTGACACACCAGCCTCCCAGGACCTGGATCTGGAGATCCTTGAAACTGTCATGAAGCAGCTGGATGCCAGTAAGATCCGAGAGAACCTTAGGTGAGTGGACTGTCTACCATCCCCCTCCTGTTCTGTTCGCCATAGGGGCGTCCCTAACTCTGGCCCTGGTCCCTGCCTGTCCCTAGGGAACTCTCCAGGGAGCCTCACCTGGCCTCCAGCCCCCGGGATGAGGCACTGGCCCAGCTCCTGCTGCAGCGCTGGCGGGACCCGAACTCAGGCCTGGACTCGGCCGAGGCCCCCATATATGAAGTGTTGCTGTCCTTCCCCAGCCGGGAGCAGCCCAACCGCGTGGCTGTCGGTGAGGTCCCAACTGCTCAGGTCTGGGGATGCCTTGGGGCCGGATCTGCCTGGCCCAGCTCAGACGCTGCCCCTCCTCCACAGTGCATCCCACTGGGAACGTGCTCTTCTCCTGCCGCCAGAGTGAACAGAACCTGACTGGGGAGCAGGGCGGCCCTGATGTGGTGCCACCTTATGCCGCCTATGCTCCCCCCGGAACCCCACAGGTGGGTCTGGGGCACTCCCTCCCAGCTGCCCTGGCCCAGTCCCCTCTGGCCCCACCCCAAATTCTCCCTTCCTGACCCAGGGCCCTTCCCCTTACACCATTGCTACACCTTTTGCCCATCCCTTAATCATCTACAAATGCTAATGGCCCCATGTTCAATGCCAGGCTGACTATAGGGTACCTGGACCCAGAGGAAACCATGTGTGCCTTGGGGAGCTTACAAGCTCTGGGTGAGGTGGGAAAACAGAATCAAAATCCTTCATTCTGCCACTCAACCTCCCTCTCTCCTCTCCTCACCCCCTCTTTCCTGGGCCTGGCTCTGAGGATCCCCTCCCTTTGGGACCAGGGCCTCCTCGTCTATGCCAACCGGGGAACGGAAGAAGACTTTATGACCCTACAGACTCAGGGCATCAGACTGGAAGGCACCATTGCGCTCACCCGCTATGGGGGTACAGGGCGTGGGGCCAAGGTGAGCAGCAGCCCCCAGGGCAGGAAACTGGGTGGGGAGGGGGCCAGCAGAGGACAGGGAGAAGGGAGGGGAAGGGAAAGGAGCAGTGTGGAGTGGCCTGTGTAGCCCTGGGCTGGGGGACCAGAGGCAATATGTGTGCTGTTATCACTCATGATGTGCTGTGTGACCCTCCCCTCCCCTCTCTGAGCCTTAGCAAATAAATGGACCAGGTAAAATGTTCAGCTCTGCCATTCTGGGCGACTAAGTTCTGTGAAGTAGTTCTCCTGAATATTGGACTCCAATCCTTCCTGTAGCCCTCCCTCCCAGCCCGCATCTTTTCAACTAAACATTTTGGCTAAGTATTTCACATGTGTGGTTCTCACAGATGTGGAATTTTTTTTAAGGTATAGAATGGGAATTTTAAGGTATAGAATTTAAGGGAATAGGGAGTTCGTGTTTAGTGACTCCAGAGTTTCAGATTTGCAAGATGAAGAGTTCTCGAAGTGAGTGGGGGTGATGATAGTGCAATCAAGTGTTGATGTCCTTATGCCACTGAATTGCATGCTATAAAATGGTTAGGGTAGTAAATTTCATGTAGATTTCAGTTCAGGTCATGGGCTCAGGTCTTGATCTAGCAGTTTGTGAGATTGAGCCCTTTGTCAGGCTCTGCACTGATAGCACGGAGCCTGTTTGGGATAATCTCTTCCTTTCCCTCTCTCTGCCCCTCTCCCCACCCCACACACACTTGCATGCACGTGTGCTAATTTTTTAAAAAGTGCCCAAAATAAAAGCTGCAAAAGGAGAAAAGGGGAAGAGCCATAATGGAATTCTATGGATTATAGAATTTCCTGTTAAATACAAAGTTTAGAGTGGAAAAGTGTTGGGGCGCCTGGGTGGCTTAGTCGGTTAAGCGTCTGACTTTCGCTTAGGTCATGATCTCGCGGTTTGTGGGTTCGAGCCCCGCGTCGGGCTCTGTGCTGACTGCCAGCTCAGAGCCTGGAGCCTGCTTCAGTCTGTGTCTCCCTCTCTCTCTGACCCTCCCCTGCTCACGCTGTCTCTCTCTCTCTCCTAGAAATAAATAAAAATATTAAAAAATAAAAAAAAATAAAAAAAAAATAGAGTGGAAAAGTGTTCCTGTTATGCCATCGTCCAAAGAGGTATCCATCCACACTTTCTTTTGGAAAAAGTGCATATGAATATATATTTTTATTTCTCTCTCTTTTGATATAAAAGTAGCATACTATATCCACCCTTTTCAAGCTATGCTTTTTTTCACATTAATACATCCTGGAGATTATTCTCGATCGGCAAATAATTGTGTTCTTTGTCTTTTCTTTCCTTTTCTTTTCTTTTCTTCTCTTTTCTTTCCTTTCTTTCCTTCCTTCTTCCTTCCTTCCTTCCTTCCTTCCTTCCTTCCTTCCTTCCTTCCTTCCTTCCTTCCTTCTTTCCTTTCTTTCTTTCTTACTATTTTGTTTTTATTGTGCTAAAATATACCAGTATAAACTGACTGTCTTAACCATCTCTAAGGGTACAACTCAGACGCGTTTAGTACCTTCACAACACTGTGGATACTATCACTATACCATCCATTTCTAGAACTCTTGATAATTACAGACGCATCTCTGTGCCCTTTCAAAATAATGTCCCCTTCCTTCCTCCCCAGCTCCTGGCGACCTCTATTCCACCTTCCAGCTGTATGAGTTTTCCTATTCTAGAAAGCTCCTAGAAGAGGAATCACACAATATTTGTCTTTTTCTGCCTGGCTTCGTCACTTAGCTTAATGTTTTCAAGGCCCATGACGTATCAGAACATCATTGCCTTGCATGCTCTACACCACACATTGGCTTATCCATTCATTCTGCCGGGACACTGGGGCTGCTTCTGCCTTTTGGCTCCTCCAAGCGGTCCCGTGTGACCATGGGACACAGCACATCCTGTCCCCTACCCACTGCCCGTGGTGCCCTAGCGCGATGCCTCTGCTTACATGACAACCCCACTGATAAGCATCGATCTGCCTGTGCCCAGCGGTCTTTTGCTCCCTCAAGCAGGGCTGCAGTAAATAACTTGTGCAAGCATCATCTTGCCCGTGGGAAGACAGATCTGGCCCCGCTGCCACAGGGAGAGAGGGAAGAGAAGAGGACAGGACACCTCCTCTCCCTTCCTCCAACCACAGTCTCACTCACCTCCCGCAGGCTATCAACGCGGCCAAGCACGGGGTAGCTGGGGTGCTGGTGTACACGGACCCCGCAGACATCAATGATGGGCTAAGCTCTGCCAGCGAGACCTTCCCCAACTCTTGGCGCCTGCCTCCCTCAGGCGTGGAGCGAGGCTCCTACTATGAGTATTTTGGGGATCCTCTGACCCCCTACCTTCCGGCCAACCCTTCTTCCTTCCGCCTGGACCCCACTACTGTCTCTGGATTTCCTCCCATTCCTACTCAGCCCATTGGCTTTGAGGATGCAAAAGTCCTCCTCTGGTAAGCTCTGGTGCCCCGGGGGCTCCCTCCACCCTCCAGTGGCCCCCAACATCCAACCCCAACACCCTCCACCTCCTCTGCAGTAACCTCCAGGGGACCCTGGCCCCAGCTGCCTGGCAGGGAGCACTGGGCTGCGACTACAGGCTGGGGCCTGGCTTCCGACCTGGTGGCGACTTCCCAGCAGACAGGTGAGGTGGGGCCCCTCTGCCTCAAGGCTCTTCTCCTCTTCCCTTGTTATGTTTCTCTGCCCACATCAAGGCCTGGCCTTTCCCTTTCTTCTCTCTCCCAACCTTCCCCTGACTCCAAAAAGTATGACTTGTCTTTGGGGAAGCCACAAGGCCCTGTGGCATTCCACGTCCACTTCATCCGTGACCTCTACTCTCCAGCCATCCTCTCTGTCTTGAATGTGCCAAGCTCATTCCCAAACCAAGGCCTCTGCACCTGCTATTCCCTGTGCCTGAAGGCTATTCCCCAGGCTCCTGCCACTCCTGGCCCGCCCTTCTCCCACCTACCAGCAGGTGTCCTCTTGCAGGTCAACCTGTTAGTGTCCTCCCCACACCCCTTCACCGCCTGCAGGTGCTGTCTTCCTAGCGGTTTGTCTCGCTCAGGGGAGGGGGGTCCCCAAGGACGGGGCTGTGTCTATCTCAAGCACGGCCCAGAGCCTAGTACCGCGCACGCATACACGAAGTATCCAATAAATACTCATCTGAGTGAGTCCGTGGAAAGAACTGGACTCCCCAGAGCGGGGCTCTAGCCTGGCTGCCTGTCCAGGTACTTCCGGGCAAGAGACCTCGTGGTGTCCCTTTCTCGCCCTGGGCCTCAGTTTCCCCTGTATTGGGTTGTGAGAGGAGTGGGGAGGGCCAAGACTCTGGTCGCCCGCTTGGCTCCCCAAGCCAGGTGAACGTGAGCGTCCACAACCGCCTGGAGCTGCGGAACTCCTCCAACGTCCTGGGCATCATCCGCGGGGCGGTGGAGCCAGGTGAGAGCCCCTAGGCGCCCCCAGACCACGCCCCCTGCGCTCCGCCCGGCTGGCCCCGCCCACCCGCCTTCCGCCCTGGTTTCTGAGTCTCCGCTCCTCTCTGCAGACCGCTATGTGCTGTACGGAAACCACCGGGACAGCTGGGTGCACGGGGCCGTGGACCCCAGCAGTGGCACTGCTGTCCTCCTGGAGCTCTCCCGAGTCCTGGGGACCCTGCTGAAGAAGGGTGAGGCAACCCTCCGTCCTGATCTAGGGACTCTCCCAGCTGGAGGTCACCTGCAGCCCGCTCTCCCCTGAGGTCCCGCGAGTCCTGTCCCACCTCCTGTCTCTCACTCTCCAGGGCCCACTTGTGCCAAGCCTGAGGGCCCTGGGGGCCAACCTGCATGGACACCAGCCCTGGCCTTGCTCAAGTCGCCCAGTGGGACATGGGGAGCCCGGGCACTGGCTTCTGAGAGCCTCCTGTGTCCCTCCAGTGGAGCGAAGCTGGGTGCCGCTGTGAGCACGGCAGTGCCCGGGCTCTGGCTTCAGCCTAGTGGGACAGGCATGACAGGCAGTCATTAACTCAACAAATATGTCCTGTAAGCCTACTACATGCCAATCCAGTTCTAGGTACAGCAGACCCCACAGTGAACACTTGAGTTGCTGCATGTAAAGGCAACTGTGGTCTGCACTAAAAGGAAAATTATAAGGGGGTTTCCTGGTGGAAGCCCGACCTCAGAAAGGCCTCCCTTCCGAGCTGGCATTTTGAGGGGGAGCTCCCAGCGGAGGGCACAGTGTGGGAAGGGGGACCGGACCCGGTGGCAGCCCAGCTGGGGAGTTTGGAGTTCCATCCGAAGGAGGCTGGGAAGACGGTGTGGGATGCTAATCAAAAGGGTGACATGCTGGAGTCCCAATTTTATTGATTTAAAGTTTATTCATTTATTTTGAGAGAGAGAAAGTGCAAGCAGGGGAGGGGCAGAGAAAGAGAATCCCAGGCAGGCTCCACACTGCCAGCTTGGACCGATCTTCCATTACCTGTAACATCCTAGAGCTATAACTATATAATTTGAATTGATACCAACTTAATCTCATATGAAACTCTGCTCCCGTAAAGCGCTGTCCTTCCCTGTTTGTGTTACTCATGTCACAAGTTACATGGGTTTACACATGTGCCCATTCCCATACTGATTTTGAGGTGCCTACGAGACATTCCCCAGGGAGAGGGCAAGCAGGCAGTTGAAGGTGCTGATCTCCAGGTCAGAACAGACTCCAGAGAGAAACTGGGGGGTCAGTGTCACAAAAGGCATGGGAAATCATAGGTGTGGTAGAGATCAACTGATAAGTGGAGGGGGGCAGGGCTTGTGGCCTTCCCCGCCTTTGATACAAGGGTAGGAATTTCTGGCTTGTCGTTGCTGTTCCAGTTTTTTACTTGGAAATAGGTGTTTGAAAGTTGCAGAAATGCTGCACCTTTATCATATCACTGTGTATTTAAGGACATTTTCTAGCAATGACCACCATCCAATGACCGGAATCTGGAAATTAACAATGTCTGCCGTTGTTCTCATAATGGCCTTTAGAGCAAAAGAAATTTCCGGTTTGAGGGCTTGTCCGGGATTGCGCTTTGCGTGTGTGGTAGTGATGGTGTGTGTCACCTGTAATGGTTCCTTAGCTTTTCTTTGTCTTTCTGGATCCTGATATTATTTTGTCGAGCGTTTATCTGATTAGATTCAGGTTACGCATTTGGGGGCAGGAAAGAGTGTGAGAGTTTGTTACTGCAAGCATATAATCATTTTATGCTTCCAAAAATTTCACTTAAAACAGAAGAGCTGAGCAATGATCAAAGGGTACTGAGTCGTAGCCAGAGATGGGAGCACAACCAGGAACGTGTGGTGCTGTGGAGGGTTAGGAGGTGTCTGGAGGAGGTAAGGGGCAAGCGAGGGCCGCCAAGGCTTTTGGGAGGAGGCTGGAGATGGAAACGCGGCCTCCAGAGGCCGTGAGAGGCAGTGTGGGTAGCTAGTGATCCCATGGACTCTGGAGCCCGACTGTGGATTTGAACCCTGCCTCTGCTTCCTACCAAGTGTGTAAACCTGGGCAAGTCCTTTGACTTCTGTGTTACTCAGTTTCAATTAAGAAATGGAGACTCGAGGGGCGCCTGGGTGGCTTAGTCGGTTAAGTGTCCGACTTTCGCTTAGGTCATGATCTCGTGGCTTGTGGGTTCGGGCCCGGCGTCGGGCTCTGTGCTGACTGCCAGCTCAGAGCCTGGAGCCTGTTTCAGTCTGTGACTCCCTCTCTCTGACCCTCCCCTGCTCACCACGCTGTCTCTCTCTCTCTCTCCTAGAAATAAATTAAAAAAAAAAAAAAAAGAAATGGAGACTCTAACAGTCTCTCCCTCAAGGCATTGAGGACTTAATATGAATAATGCCCTAAGGAGAACGTCAACAAGTGGTGGAGAAGTAAGGAGACAGTTGGGGACAGAGGGTCAGGAGGTCTATCAAAGCATGTCTATAAGGAAGGGGAAGGGAGGGCGTTCTGGCAGAAGGGACAACCGGAGATTGGTATTGGGGTCAGTTTTGGGGCGGGGTCACAGCACAGGCTGGAGGCTGGAAAAAGGAGGCCAGAGCCTCTGAGAAGTCTGGGCTGGAGAGTAGCCCGTGACCTACCTTCTGTCTCTGGCTGCCCCGCCCCGTCCAGCCCTTCCTTCTCTCCGAGTTCCCAACCTTTCCCCTAAGCTACCCCATGATCCCGGGATCCTATCCTCCAGCCCTTTACCCCCCTCCGCAGGAACCTGGAGACCCCGCAGATCAATAGTGTTTGCAAGCTGGGGGGCAGAGGAGTTTGGCCTCATTGGCTCCACGGAATTCACCGAGGTGAGCGAGCTCTGCAAAGCAGGCGGTCAAGGGGATTCCTGAGCTAGGGCACCGCCGCGCTGACGTCGGCCTTCCCACCCGCAGGAATTCTTCAGCAAGCTGCAGGAGCGCACCGTGGCCTACATCAACGTGGACATCTCCGTGTTTGGTATGGGGGGCAGCTGGGCTGGGTGGGGGGTGGGGAGGGAGGAAATGAGGGGCTGGGGCCTGAATAAAGGCTTTCTCTGATCTTCCCACAGCCAATGCCACCTTGAGGGCTCAGGGAACGCCCCCTGTCCAGAGCGTCATCTTCTCCGCGGCCAAACAGGTGAAAGGGGGAGGGGCCGGAGGAGGAATGTCCCCGGCGGGGCGGGCGGGGCTGGAGCTGGTACTTATTAGAGGGTCCTGGAGACGGGACCGAGGCTGGCGCCAGGCCCTTGTAGGACCTAGGAAGGAGACTCTGGTGGTCCGGGCCGAGGACGGCCTTTTGGGCCTTGGGGGAGGCCAGTCCCAGACTGGATTCCTCTCCGGGTCAGATCCCCGCTCCAGGCCCCGAAGGCCTCAGCATCTACGACAACTGGATCCGGTATTTCAACCGTAGCAGCCCTGCATATGGCCTGGTCCCCAGGTGAGCCCAGGGCCAGGACTGGGGCCCGGGAAAGCCGGGCTGGCCCAGTGCCCTCCAACCCAACTATCTTTCTTTTCACAGCCTGGGCTCTCTGGGTGCCGGCAGCGACTATGCACCCTTCATTCACTTCCTGGGCATCTCCTCCATGGACATCGCCTACACCTATGACCGGGTGAGGGAGCACTCCTCTGTCTCCCAGCTCCGTACCTTGCTCCCTTTCCTCTTTTAGAGCTGCTCTAGTGCAGACTGAGTGCGGCTCCACCACTCAGCAGCTGTGCTACCTCGCCAACTTTCTTAACCTCTCTGAGCATCTGTATATGCTCCCATTAATTTACCAAATTCAAGGTACTACTGATTTTAAGCTGCAACATTGTGATGTGCACTATTCACGGGGGAAAAAAGCAACACTGCCAGTTAGCTGTGGAGTGACATTGACTTACGAAGCATCATGGGGCAGGGCACCTGGGTGGCTCAGTAGGTTAAGCATATGGCTTCTGCTCAGGTCATGATTTGTGGTTTGTGAGTGCAAGCCCCACATTAGGCTCCCTGACAGTGCAGAGCCCACTTCGAATCCTCTGTTCCCCTCTCTGCCCTTCCCCCACTTGTGCTCTCTAAAAAATTAAATTAAATTGGGGCGCCTGGGTGGCTTAGTCGGTTAAGCGTCCGACTTTCGCTTAGGTCATGATCTCGCGGTTCGTGGGTTCAGCCCCACGTCGGGCTCTGTGCTGACTGCCAGCTCAGAGCCTGGAGCCTGTTTCAGAGTCTGTGTCTTCCTCTCTCTCTTACCCTCCCCTGCTCACGCTGTCTCTCTCTCTCCTAAAAATAAAAAAAAAAAAATTAAAAAAAAAATTAAATTTCAAAAAAAGCATCCTGGAACACCTGGCTAGCTCAATCAGTGGAGCATGCAACTCTTGATCTTGGGTTTTAAGTTCAAGCCTCACATTGGGTGTAGAGATTACTTTAAACACTCAGATTTTTAAAAAATTAAAAAAATTTTTAAAAAATATTTATTTGAAAGAGAAAGAGGGAGACAGAGTGTGAATAAGAGAGGGGCAGAGAGATGAAGACAGAATCTGAAGCAGGCTCCAGGCTCCAAGCTGTCAACACAGAGCCTGATGTGGGGCTGTAACTCATGAACTGCGAGATCATGACCTGAGCCGAAGGTGGACGCTTAACCGACTGAGCCACCCTGGCGCCCCTAAAAAATGTTTTTAAAAATGTTTGTTTATTTTTGAGAAAGAGAGATAGTCAGATTCCGAGCAGGAGAGGGCCAGAGCGAAGGGGAGACACAGAATCTGAAGCAGGCTCCAGGCTCTGAGCTGTCCCCAGAGAGCCTGACCATGGGGCTTAAACTCACAAACTGTGAGATCCTGACCTGAGGCGAAGGTGGACACTTAACCGACTGAGCCACCCAGGCGTTCCAAAAAGCAAATTCTGAAAATAAGAGGCATCCTGTTTCCAGAGATCTTAAAATATGAAAAACTGTTTACCCCAGAATAGGTTAAATAACAGTATAAACCAGGGGTGATTCGTGGCACTAGCGTGAGGGTAACACAGAATAAGCGATCTTGGATCGCTATTAGCTGTGTGAAGTCAGGCGGGTGACTTAACTTCGTGAGCCTCAGTTTCCTCCTTTGTAAAGTAGGAATTCTAGGGGGCGCCTGGGTGGCTCAGTTGGTTAAGCGTCCGACTTCAGCTCAGGTCATGATCAAACAGTTCGTGGGTTTGAGCCCCGCGTCGGGTTCTGTGCTAACAGCTCGGAGCCTGGAGCCTGTTTCAGATTCTGTGTCTGCCTCTCCCCTGCCCACACTCTGTTTCTCTCTGTCTCAGTCTCAAAAATAAATCAGAACTAAAAAAAAAAAATTAATTAAAAAAAGTAGGAATTCTAGAACCTACCTCATAGCCATGACGATGAGATAACGTCCCTATGTTGTGGTACGTCTCCTCCCGCTTCTCATCCCAAGCCTGTCACTCGGTCCTGTTCCCCTAGAGCAAGACCTCGGCCAGGATCTACCCCACCTACCACACAGCCTTCGACACCTTTGGTTACGTAGACAAATTTGTGGACCCTGGTGAGGAAGGGGGCCAGGGGAGCCCTGGGGCTGGAGCGGGGTGGGCTGAAGACCGAGCCCTGGCCTGATCACACTCCTTGCAGGCTTCAGCAGCCATCAGGCCGTGGCCCGGACTGCAGGGAGTGTGCTTCTGAGGCTCAGTGACAGCCTCTTCCTGCCTCTGAATGTCAGTGACTACGGGGAGACCCTCCGAGGTTTTCTGCAGGCTGCCCAGCGCGACCTTGGGGTCCTGTTGGAGCAGCACAGCATCAGCCTGGGTATGGAGCCCCCTTAACGTGGAGGCGTGGGGAGCCCTGCACCTCCAGGGCTAAGCTGCTGGCTGTCCCCCCCCAGGGCCTCTGGTGACTGCAGTGGAGAAGTTTGAGGGGGCAGCCGCGGCCTTGACCCAGCACCTAGCAGCGCTGCGGAAGGACACCCCTGAGTGAGCAAGGGCAGCAAGCAGGTGTCTGGGAGGGCGGCATCTGGGGCAGGTGCAGGCTGGGAGCTGGGCTGCTGCTTCCAGGGTGACAAGAAGTCCTGCCGCTTCCAGCCCCCTGCAGGTCCGGATGCTCAACGACCAGCTGATGCTGTTGGAACGGACCTTCCTAAACCCCCGGGCCTTCCCAGAGGAACGCTACTACAGGTGAGGCTGCTCAGAGCTCTTGGCGGGAGTGCCGCACGGTGAGGGTGGACAAGGGGGACCCATCGGAGGGCAGAGACTGTCAGAGTCAGAGCTCAGCCCCTTGAAAGTTGGGGAATCGGGCTCAAATGAGGGGAGGCAAATCAGTCAAGGCCACCTTGGAACTATGACGCCCATCTCTCCCCCGACCTTGCGGCGAGGGCCCCACCTTTCAGAGGCAGTGGGGAGGCGCTTTTGTGGCTCGCTGTATACAGAGGAGCCCCTTCCAGGCTGACGCTCCCCCCTTTCCTGGTCCCTGAGTGACTCTGCGTCTCCCCTGGACCTTCTTTCAGCCACGTGCTCTGGGCACCCCGCACCGGCTCCGTAGCCACGTTCCCAGGACTGGCCAATGCCTGCTCCAGGGCCATGAACATGAGCCCAGGATCTGCAGCCTGGGCTGAAGTCCAGAGGCAGCTCAGCATCTTGGTGGTGGCCCTGGAGGGCGCCGCTGCCACCCTGCGGCCTGTGGCTGACCTCTGACCTCAGCCCTCATTCTCCAGCTCCCCACCATCCTTTCTCCCAACTTCCTCCCACTCTGATTTTTTGGGGGTGTGTCCCAGATGATGCCAGCCTGAGGCACCATCACTGGACCCTCTTGAGCCTCTGAGACAACAGCTCGGGGTCCCGCCAGTTGTGAACACATAAAAGGAGTGACAAGCCTTCCTCGTCCTGGATCTTGTGCAGAGGGTGAAGACTCAGAGATGGGGATGACGGGGAGGGGAGTGTCAAAACCACCAGCCACTCTTGGGGGTGCATGGGCAGGGATAGGATGCGTAATGCCGGCCAGAGACCACCAGACCCACCCCTCAGGGACCAGCAGGGAAACTGAGGCCTGGGAATGGCTAGGGCCTTGCCCAGGCTGGGTTCCTCTCTCCCTCCATCCCTATCACATCTCAACGACTCCCTGCGCTCCCCCAAATAAATCAATTATACTTATTGTCCCTACAAAACAAATTCCTTTTATTGTGTAGGAATTATGAAAAACCAAGAAACCTGAGTGCTTGGATCCAGGCCTGGGTCTGGGAGAGTGTGCAGCTCCTCACGCGGGGGCCTTCGGTGCATCCACACCCTCGTCCTCCTCTGCCATGACCACCTCCTCCAGGGTGCGCCCCCCCAGCTTGCTCCCCACCAACACTCTGCAGGTCCCGGCAGGTGGCAGCCCTTCCTCCGTGTAGCGACCCCTGAGAAACACAACTCTCTCCTGTCCATCCAAGGGCAGTCCGTGGGCCTGACACAGATCCCGTGCCTCTTCTGGCCCATCCAGGGCCAGCAGGTGGACCATGAAGCCCAGAGGCAAGGTCTGGCCTTTGGGGGTGCTCAGGGCACGGGCGAGGCGGGCCAGGGCTCCCCGGCGGGCCCGGCCTATGTGGCACTGCACGGCGCAGCTTTGCAGATAAGGCAGGATCCGGAGCAGGCGGAACAGGCGCGCGGTGTTGCCTTCGCGAAAGGCCGAGTTCACAGCCAGAGCCCTGCGCAGGGCCGGGCAGGAACGCAGGGCAGCCGGTAGCTGCAGAACCTCGTGAAGGGCCTCCACGGAGCCTGTGAGGGAGGAAGCGCGGCGGGAGACAGCTCAGTGTCTTTCTCAGATCAGGTCCACTTTCCATCGCATCCCTTTAGGCCTCTCCCCTCCCCTAGCCTCCCACCTTCCCGGGCCCTAAGCCACGCCCACTTCCTCTAGCCTACCACGGAGCACTTCTCTGAACTTGGGCCACCTACCTTCCGCTCCGGCTGCACCCCTCCTCTGGGCCAAGCTTCCTTTCCCCTCCCCCTTTCTCCATGGGCCTGGTCCAAGGCCTCATCGGAAAGAGTTGCTAGAGCCCATTCCAACAGTCCGGATCCTCTCAACAAAGTGAGGCATGGTTTTCCGATGGAGGTGACAGGCCAGATGATTTCACGACTTGGCCTGAGACTGTCCTTGAGTCCCTCCGTAGTAGAATTTGACACAAAAATCCAAGTTTTCGGGGCACCTGGGTGGCTCACTGGGTTAAACGTCCAACTTCGGCTCAGGTCATGATCTCACAGTTCATGGGTTTGAGCCCCGCATTGGGCTCTGTGCTGACAGCTCCGAGCCTGAAGCCTGCTTCGAATTCTGTGTCTCCCTCTCTCTTTTCCCTTCCCTGCTCATTCTCTCTCTCTCTCTCTCTTAAAAATAAATAAACACTTAAAAATTTTTCAAAAAAATCCAAGTTCCCTGGCTTCAAACCCAGCTCTCTCCACTGCTCTAGCTGCTGCACAGAGAGGAAGCTGGGGCTCCCACACCTTCCCTGTCTGCCTGGTGAGGCCTTTTCTTCAAGCAGCTTCGGCCCCTGCTCCCCACACGAGAATCACAACGGAACCTCAGGCCACTTTTGTGAACTAAGGCTTCCGACCCATCAGTACGTTGTGAAATCAAGAGCATTTTGTTACAATTAAATAGAATAGTATTAGACCGCACCATCCATCCACAGGGAGGATCTTAAAGCCTTGAAACTTCCGTGCAGGAAGTTTCATGGGCAGATATTCCTGGCTGCTTTGCAACACTGAACTACATGTTTCAAAACGTTTGAAAATCACTTGGGTGAACATTCCCGTTCCAACCTCGTCCTCTCCGCTTTTGTTACCAAAAAACCCTGAGACCCAAATGTGGGAATGGCCAGGCCAGAAGGCCCACGTCCGGGCTCAGCGGATCTGGCGCACTGACTCGACACACATTTAAAAGGCAGGATGAGTTAAGGAGCTAATGGGGAGGCTGTAAAGCTTCTCGTTCCTTCTCCGGCCTCCACCGTCTACAGGGAGGCCCCCTTCCCACCCCCCACGCCCGCTCCCCGCCCTTCCGCCGGCACCCCAACTCACCCAGGTTATAGAGCAGAAAGAGGCCCTGGAAGGCCGCCTGGCGGGGATGCGGGCCGGCGCTCTGAGCGTAGCAGCGCCGCAGAGACCCGAAGCCTTCCTGCACCTGGGCCTGCAGCAGCACCGGGTCCGCCGGCCCGCGCACGGCGTCGGGCCCCAGCCGCGCCACCACGGCCAGCAGCACAGCCAGCGCCGCCTCCAGCACCACCGCCGCCTCGGCGTCGCCCGCGCCCTGCAGGGCCAGGTCCAGCCGCACGGCGCGCAGCCGGTCCGCCACGAAGCTGGCCACCTCGGCGCTGGATGCGTCGGCGCGCTCGGCCACCTCGCCGGCCAGGTAGCGCACGGTGGCCAGCAGCACGGACGGCGGACGCAGCTGGCTGGGCGGGGGCCGGGCCTTGCCGGCGGCCGGCCGCCTGTACTCCTTCACGGCGCGCTGCGGGTCCGCGCGGGGCCGGTCGCCGCGGCACCCCGGCGCCACCTCGAAGCGGTGCAGGCGGCGCTCCTTTTCGCGCTGAGCGCGCTCGGCGGCCGGGCACATGTCCGGGCACGTGCCCACCGGCAGCTTGCAGCCGGACATGGGTGGGCTGAGGGGAAAGGACAAGCTCTCAGCATCCCGGGGACCGCGGCAGCCACTCGATCCATTCTACCCGAGGGCCGGCGGAGGCCGGCGGTGACTGGCGGCGGAGCAGGTAGACCCTGGCTGGGCCCCGCCTCCCCGCCCTGGGCCAAGAATCCCCACCGTCCAACAGGCAACCGCCGTCCTCTCACCGACTCTTGTCCCCTCCCACAAGGCCTCGAGCAGGCCTCCCGAGACTCCCCGCGTTGTAGTCCAGCGCCACCACGTCCGGCTCAGGCGGTCCTGAGACCTCCATGATGCACCGCGCGCAGCCCAGCCCACTCCCATGATACACCAGTTTGTAGTCCCTTCCGCAACCAATCGCTTCGCAGGAGGGGCGGGGAAGGAGTGGAGCCACGCCTTTCCAGGTTTTATCCCGCCGAACCCCCACACTTCGTCTCTGGGCACCTCCCAAAATGACTGACCCTAATTTAGGTTCCTCTTCATCATCCCTTTCATCCAATAACCTGGTTCAGTCGGCCTTACTGTCATTCTCTACTCTTGTTTCCCTGGAGACTATTCTCCCCGCTTTCTAGATCAGGGGTCAGCAAACTTTTTCTGCAAAGGGTCAGATAGTAAATGCTTTGAGATCTGGCAGGTCGAAACTAGTCAACCTGCCAACTAGTCACCTCAGCTGGCGGAGTGGGAAAGCAGCCACCGCCAATATTAAATGGATGAGCCTGATTGTGTTCCACAACATCTTATTTTTAGATACTGAAATTTCATGTCATTTTCGCCTGTCACAGAATACTATTCTTTTGATTTTTTTTTTCAATTATTAAAAAAACGTAAAAACCGGGGCGCCTGGGTGGCTTAGACGGTTGGGCGTCCGACTTTCGCTTAAGTCATGATCTCGCGGTTCGTGGGTTCGAGCCCCGCGTCGGGCTCTGTGCTGACTGCCAGCTCAGAGCCTGGAGCCTGTTTCAGTCTGTGACTCCCTCTCTCTCTGACCCTCCCCTGCTCACGCTCTCTCTCTCTCCTAGAAATAAATAAAACATTAAAAAAAAACAACGTAAAAACCCTTCTAGCTCATGGGCCTTAAAGAAAAAGGCAGTAGGCAAAACGAGAGCGCTGGCCCATAGTTTGCAGAACCCTGTTCTAGACGGGTAAACAGCTAGTTTAGGACCGGAGATGCTGCGCATGCAGGATAGACAGGATCACAAGTATGAGTCCCTGATTCCAAGGTGGCAGACGTGGTCAGGGAGCTTCAAATTCATTATTTGTCTCATTCTTGGTCCAGTTACATAGAGAAATGACCCCTAAAGTTACAAGACCAGATACAGGGTCGGGCCCCAGGGACAGTAAAAGGGAGTGGCTGGCAGTGCTGGAGCTAGTCCTGGGTAAGGGGTCCCGCCCTCTCAGGGCGGGAGTTGGGACAGATGCAGGCGCAAGATTTCTTCTGCCCGCTTTAGGTACTCAGCTGCCTTCTTCTTCACACCCTCCCGGCGGGCAGATGATGGGTCACCTATGGAGAGAGAATGGTTCAGCTGAAATACCGGGGTTCAGAAGCCCTGGTCCAGCCCCTTACGGTTCACAGAGCATCAACATGCATCTCCCCCACTCCCCAGGAATCAGATCCATTCTCCCCATTTTACAAATGAGGAAGTTGAGGCCACAAGAGGTAAAGAAACGGCCCAAGGCTATACAGCTGGTCAGTGACGAACAATTCTGATCCTTGACTTGTTTGCTTTTCACATTCCCTTCCCTTCACCGCACTATCCGAAATTCTCGGCCTGACCTTCCACCTTCCAGTCTTACTCACCGGGAACCCCTTGGAGCAGGATGTGAACGCCGTCCCGATAGCCTTGCAGGGCTGCAGGGTACGCCCCTGCCTTCTCATCGCGCAGGGCCTGGGTGATGAGCTCTGTGGCTTGGCTCAGATAGGCAGGGACGGGTCCTTCTTCCTCCTCCTGCCCTCCAGGCTCCCAGGGCTCCTGGTCCAGGCTTTCAGACTCTACCTCCATGGCTGCCAGCTCACCCACGTGGGTTGGACTGGGGCCCGCACCTTCTACAATCAGATATGGAGGACTCACGCCAGACTGGCCCTCCCTTTCCCAGGACCCGCTGCCCATCCCCAGACCTGTCTTGCCCATCAAGGTACCGACCTGTCCCACGTGGAGGGAAGCAATGCCTGAGCAATTCAAGAGCCATTTGCACACAGCATCTATTTAAATTTGCACACAGATCTATTTCACTGAGGCAGTTCTTTGGTTTTGTAAAAATAATAACAAAAAAATGACCTTCCTAATTCTTTCCTTGGGTGCACATTAACATTAGTTTGTGAGGTCTGGGTCCCTGGGCCTACTCCTCTCCTGACTATAGTTGAAATACAAATCTAAGAATTCTCTCCACAAAGTCTAACTGAAGGATGCTACAGCAACTTTGCCAGGCCAAGGATAGAAATGCTCCAAACCCTGGAATGTGAGAATAATGGATTCCGAGAATTTCAGGTCTTACAACTTCAGTTGAGAACCGCGTCTGTGGGAGGGCCTTCCCCGTTCCATGGGGTGGGGGTGGGCGGGGTCTTGTGGTGCCTCCACCTTCCAGCAGCTGCTGCAGGGTCTCCTGTGCTGCTCTCTGAGCTCAAACCTCGCCCCTCCTCAATCAACAGGCCTCTCCTGCCTTCAGGATCTGTAGCGCAGCCCTGAGCCAGGCGGGAAACCCCACCTTGGGCTTCCAATGGAAGGAAGTCAAAGCCTCTCAAGACAGCGTGACCCCTGCCTGTTCCAAAGCTTTCTCAGGGAGAAGATCTCATGGTGGGAAGTGGCTCATTTCCTTCCTCTGCGGTTGTTCACTGTTCACGGGCCTCCAGCATATGCGCCCTTGCAGGCGGCACCTGCTTCTGATTCTAAGGCTGGCGATTGCCCGAGGTGGGGGGGGGGCACCTTTCAAGGATTCACACAGGCACTACATGTGCTAGTTGGTGGCTCTGCCTACCCTCCTTGCCCCTACATCAGCCCCCCTCTGCTTGTCCAAGCTTGTTACCTTCCCTGGAGAAGGGGTCGAAGAGGGCAAGCTCAGCGTCTGTGAGGGGGCCTCGGGCAGGGGAGCTGGATGCCTCCTCGGTGCTCCCACAGTTAAAGACGAGATCCAGGGCCTCCTGGGCAGGGCTGGATGGTGGGGGATCCGCTGAGGAATAGATCGTTGGTGACATTCATGCCTGACCTTATCATTTCCCGGCTTTCCAAATGGAATCCCCTCTCATTAAGTCCTTGTGGCACCCAAGGGCACAGATAAGCCTATGTTTAGGGTTTGTATGTTTAGGGTTTAGATTAAGAAACTCCAGCCTAGACAAGGGAAACGGCCTGGCTAGAGATCCTCAGCAGGTAGAGGCGCTGGAACATACCCCAGAATTTTTACTGGGGCAAATCTTTGCTGGGGAGGAAGTGTGTGCCCTCCACCACCCCCAGACCCTCCAGCCCCGGCACCCTCCCCACCCCCAATGTACCTGGAGCCTCCAGTTCCTCAAGGCCTCTCCTCTCTGCAGGGAGTGGCTGGGGCAACCAGGGCTCCTCAGGGGGCGGCGTGGGGATCAAAGGGGGTGGCAGGATGTGCAGGTCCCTGGACATGTCAGAGGGCCGAGTTACCTCCCCACCCTGAGGGAGAGAAAGACAGGGATGGGGGGGTGGTCTCTGGTGGGGCCTCACGGGCAGGTATGGGGAGGAGGGATGAGCAGGTGCACATACCCGGAAGAACTCCTTGAGCTGGGGGCTGTTGTTGAGTGCAGGGATGTGCACCGTGAAGCGTAGCAAGTCCTCAGCCCCCTTCCGCCGCTCCTCAATCACCGAGGCCTCAAACCGGCCTGCAGCCACCCCCAGGCAATGGGTGGGGAGAGAGGCAGCGATCTGTATATTTCACTTAATATGTATGTTTCACTTAACCCAATATAACCAAAATAGTCTCCTTTGAACCCGTGATCCATATATAAATGATCAAGATAGTTAACATTCTATTTCAGCGTGCACTCACCCCCTAGGCACACCTTGGCTCAGACTCCCCACATCTGCCTTACAGTTGCTGTTTTTGAATAGCGAGGGTCTAGAGGGTCACAGCAGCTTTGGGGAAGGGGGATTCTTGTTCTGCAACTTACAGGCCGAGCCTCTTCTGACCCTGAGCCTCAGCTGCTTTGTCTTGAAAATGGGGCTAATGAAGACAGGATGTTAAAGGGCTTGAGACAACACTAAAGGCTAGGCTGCTCTGAGCCTCGGTTTCCCCCTGTGTGGAAGGAGGCTGTCCCTGAGGGTCCTTCGGCTCCCTGAAAGTGTCTCTGTTGGGGGTTTTGGCTCCCCTCATCCAGGCCCCACCATCAGGGGTCCTCCTTGCCCACCTGTCCCTCCATCTGCAGCCTGAAAGCCTAGATCAACACTCAACAAACACCTGGGCCAATACTCACCGAACACCTGGGCCCGGGGGAAGGCAGGAAACTCCTCCAGGCGGCGGAAGAGGTTGCGGTGGGTGTAAGCCAGGTCTCCATGCAGCTTGCGGAAGTCGCTGTACCGCTTCCAGACCACCACCTAAGGGGGATACAAGACTTGACTCAGGCCAGCAATGGTGGAAAGAGGTTTCTCCACCCCCAGCGTGGGCCCAGCGCGGGTGTGCAATTGGGGGGGTGGCACCCCCTTCTCCCAGGGTCGCGGAGTTACCAGTTGTTCCTTTACTGCTCCCGCATCTGGAATTGGGGAATGGTCCCCCTTCCTCCCAGGAGCCTCACCTCTTTGACATCCTCTGGGTCCCTCTTTGAGATGAACTGAGGAAGAAAGGCAAGAACCAGGTGAGACCGGAGACTGACATCCGACACCCCATCACGCAGTCAAATCCAGGGATGCCCCAGGTACCTCCCAGCCCCCCTCAAAGAGGCAGAGGCCTTTGCCTGTTGGCCACTGGTATCAAGGTGATCTGGCTTTGAGGCTTTGCATGACTTGGAGCTGTTTTACCACGTGCCCGTTTCGTCATCTGCCAAATGCGAGGATCCCTAAAGATCCATCCAGACCCCTTGGTCCTCAGCCCAACTTTTAGCTCAGTTCCTTCGCGAATTATGTGTCATCCTTGTACACTGGCCCCGCTAACCTCTGTATCTTCCAATTGGAGCATATGTGCCACCTACGAGAGCATTATTTC